CACACACACACACACACACACACACACACACACACACACACACACACACACACACACACAGCAGCTGTCGTAAAATATGCAAGTTTTACGTCGTCAAACGGATTGCAGAATCGCGCTATCGTGTCGTTGCCAATAATTTTATGAAACGTAATTATCCGCACAATGCATCGATACGCATTTATCATGGTATGGTAATTTCGGCGAATAAAATTTATCATATCACGAAGTAATTATTAGTTACGACTCGGTCTGACGGTCGCGGCAATTTGATCACCGGATAGAGCTGCAAACGAGATATTGGAGTAGCAAGCATATGGGGTTTCATGTCGCACGGTTTGAAATATTGGCATCGCTAGAAATCGGTGGCTTTTTAGCGCCTAACAGTGGCTAGGCTACGAGATAGTGCAACATAGAAAATTAATATCCATCTTAACCCCTTGACTACGGCAGACTTTGAGACGCGTCGGCCGTACCATACGGCAGAAATTGAGTTACGATGTACGCCGAGCACGGCGAACTTTTGGATAGGGATGCATTTTTTTGCAAACATATTTCAATATTTAAAAAACTAAATTTCACTACATTAAAACAATATTATTTATTTCTCTGAATCGCATTACTATAAATGTTATAAATTTAACATTAATGTAAAACTTGTTTCTCATCTAACTGAGATAAGATCTATCGAAATAAATATCGATAAAATTTTCTGGGCGTCTATAGGCGCCCTCCGTGTCAGAAAACAAAACTGCATCGAGCGCCTATAGGCGCTCCGAGTGTCACAAACGCAAAATTCCTAAGCGCCTATGGGCGCTCACAGTAGTCTAGGGGTTAAAGAGGACAGATTCCATAGAATCGAGGACATTCGAAGTACAATATCGTTCCCTCTCCTTTGAATTTTCGAAGTTCATTCACGCGTTCTGACGCATTCAGCCGAATAAATTGTTACAAATATGAAGCAATTAATGTAGTATCGTAATTTAGTGGGTACGTTTAGGACGAGGAAGAGTGTTAGGCTTGGGAGACCGTAGTTTCAAGACTTTGTATTAAAAAAGAAACGTTGGCGAAGGCCGGGTCAGATGAAAAAAAACCCTTGGCGACGGAGAGCCGGCGGATGCGATTGTCGCGTTTTTAGAAAAGGCAGGCATTGTGTCGAAGGAGCGTGTTTGGAGTGGACAGATAGTGTTCGAGAGTCGTCGAGCGAGGAGCGTTGCAAGTTGTAGAATTAAGCGACGTAGTTGTGATCCTAGTTGTAGGTACGGTACGCGATATTTCCTGCCTTCATCGCGTATAGTCCTTTCCTAATCGATACAGATTCTATATTGTTTAAATATTGGACAATTTCTACACATTAATGACAATAAAAGTAGTAAAATTTGTCGAATTATAAAACATTTTACAAGGCTACGTGCATTGAAAGCCATGTCGTATCGTCGTTTTTATTAATTATTTTCATTATCACGTATTATTTCACATTAAACGCGTGTAATATTCATACCGAATTCCGTCAAGCTCCCATCATGCTAGACTGACGCGCACCATTGTCCGTTTGAAACAATGTGTTCTGCGTAACGAAACCAGTGTTACGAAACCAGAAGCAATTAACGCGAATTAAAGGAATACTTTCGCCCGAAGGTGCGCTTCATTCGGTTAGTAATTTAATTGAAAAATTAATTCAGTCGCAGTTTAACGATAACAACAACAACACGATTTCAAACGTTCAAGACGCTTCAGCGAGAAAGCGAACAAGAAATACTGCTATACAAGCTTTCCATTCGCATAATAGAATAATCGGCGGAGCTTAACTCCGGGATTAGCAGAATTTCTGTCAGCCACGCGTCATTTCCCGAGCCGCAAAACAGAGGCTACCGTGGCCGACGTTATCGACCGAGTGATTACATCGGGACTCGCGTGGCTGAAAACCCGGGCTTTCGGTCGGGGTTCGACGCGCGTCGCAGGAAATTAAGGCTGTTACCGCAACAAACAATCCCAGCCCCCGATCTTGCCCCGGCTCTCTTCCTTTCTTCTGCTCGATAAGAGGATCCGTGTTGAGGCACGAGTCGCGCTACCGTAGCGAGATAATATCCATTGATTCTTTTTCCCTTGCCCCCCGGCTCGAATGTCGCCGGCAATCTGGCCAGAAGGGCACAAGAGGGCCGCGATGAGGGAGGGGTGTTAATTTCCGTTTAGGAAGCGTTAGGGTGGCACGCTGGCGAGACGCTGCACCGCCACTGTTAAGATAAGATAACCACTTAGCCATCGGGATTCTACTCGAATCTCTTTCCCCGGTGCCCTCTCGTTCGCCACCCTCACCTCCCCCCTCGATCCGCTGTCTTCTCGCCGCCACTGTTCTCCGCGTTTTCTTTTTCATCGTGCCCCGTTTCTGATACGTTGCTCGTCTTCCTGTCATCTAGCCTTCCATCCAACGCCTCTCTCTCGTCTCTCTTTCTCTCGTCTCCCCCTCTCTCTCCCCCACCATTAAGGCTATCTGAACTTCTGTCGCGACTTCCGGCGTCCTCACCGCGCGGCATTCAAAGCGACTTTGGCTGCTCGTTCACGTTGATGGCTCGATCACGAACCCCTTCAACTGCGCCATGGCTGCCTGCTCGCTGGATGTTACGAAAGCACCAACAGGCTCGGTGGGACACACGCTGCTGCGATCTTTTATCGCTCCTCGAACTGGTCGTAACAAACCGCGCGACAGCGGGGATGGGCCCAGCTTCGACGAGCGTGTCGTTATCCTCTAACGTGGCCGTTTAATATGTTTCTTGAGGCGCGGAAGCATACGTTCGCGGTATCGCCAAACGGCGAACGATCGGGAAGTCGTCGTTTTGACACCTTCGTTGCGAATAACGGCAAATATTGTACAGATTCTGGGGAGCTCGTTTGATTCCCGTGTCGCGGTGCTAAGCAGAAATCATCACGAATGCGTACGTTTTAATCGATTATTGCTGCACCGCCGGCACATCCAGGAAAATTACTTTTATCGTGGAATTCGTCGAGAAAATTTGAATGTGAGAGCTATCTTGAATCATTTTAACGAGTCTTGCGGATGCTTGTACATCTACAGTCTGATTGCTCTTTTCTGTAGTGTTATTTAATAATAATAATAATATTATTTTATAATAATAATAATAATAATAATATTTCATAATTATAATAATAATATTTCATAATAATGTAATGCTATTTTCTGTAATGAACGTGCCTATTTTACCCCATTATGAGGAACTAATAAAAGATCGTGTGTGAAGTGTATGTGTATATTTTAATACCATCGGCACTATCGTCACGTTATGGTTATCAGTCGATAATAGAATCGTCTTTTAACTTGTACAACACGAAGAACATCCGTTATCGATTGACGAAACGGTTGAAAATAATGTCACGCTCTAACGTAGACTGTCATCTTATTAAGAAAGTCGTGCACTTTGCGCACTGTTTGCAGGTACACTCAATAAACTTGCATAATATTATTAATGTCAACGAAAGCACGCTTCCATTATCATCCGCCACGTTGACACGAGTACACAAATTTCAAAAATGCAGAGCGAAGCAACAACGGCGGCG